GCGTGTAAGAGTGTGTGGCGTGTAAGAGTGTGTGGTGTGTAAGAGTGTGTGGCGTGTAAGAGTGTGTGGCGTGTAAGAGTGTGTGGTGTGTAAGAGTGTGTGGCGTGTAAGAGTGTGTGGCGCGTAAGAGTGTGTGGCGTGTAAGAGTGTGTGGCGCGTAAGAGTGTGTAGGAGTGTCAGATTGTGTGAGATGTTGAAAGAATGTGAGAATGTGTGATTGTGGTAGAGTGTTTACAGGGCTTACAAAGACCTTCCTTCAAGAAACAGTACCAGGAAACAGAAGAAGAAGCAGACAGAGAAAGCGATGGGAAGACAACATCAAAGAATGGACAGGCCTGTCGGTGAATGAAATTCTATCCAAGGCAAAGGTCAGAGAGGAATGGAGAAAGATGGTTCACAGATCTTGTGTGGTGCCCCAACGGTCTTACAGTCTAAGGAATAGGTGAAGGGAAAAGTAAGAGTATGTGAAAGTAGGTGAGACTTTGTGAGAATGTGTGAGTGGGTGTGATTTTGACAATGTAACAATATGTGAGAGAAAGAGTGGGAAAGAGAGAGTGTGGAAGTGTGAGACTGAGTTTGTGATAGTATTTGAAAGTGAGTCAGAGCGACAGAGTGAGAAAGAGAAAGAGATACAGTGAGAGACATTCAGAAAGATGAACTAATTTTTAAAACAAATGCAATGCTAAAATCAGATTTTCAGCTTTTGAAATCAAAATGTGACAGACGCACGGACTGGCAGACAAAGAACACTGATACAATAGCGGCTTATCCATTCGAGAGCCGCTAAAAACCGCCAACACATTTTCCCAAAGCACGCGGACACAAAAAAAAAAAACAAGAAAAAAAGAAACAAAAACAATGGGTCTGTTTGAGAGTATTTTATGGCGCACATTAAACGAAATAACTTCCGCTCTACTGCGCGTGACAGCTAATGACGTCACTGCCTCTGTTTGAACAAATTGGTCGTCTGGTATTTATTTTTTCCCCGGCATTTTTTAAAATTTGCTTTTGGGATGGAACGAAAGAATGGTGTTGGGAGGTGCTGAGAGGTCGATCATTTGTACACTGAGTACATTGACCCCGAAACGCTTAGTCATAGTCACTGTGCCCTGCCCCTGAACCACTCTCTGCGACTTTCATCACTCCGTCTGAGTAATAGTCGTAGCTCACACAAAGAGCGTTGACTCGTCATATTTACTTTTCAATAGATTAAAGACAAAATCTGAAAAATGGTAAGAGTTATCCTCCATTTCACTTATAAAACTTGAAATAACTTCATTGTGAATCAAACTTTTATTACAATTTATTATAGATATTAATATTATATATTATTATATATATATATATATATAAACTTGAGATGAAATAAAATCAAATGATATTTAAACAAATCTAATTCACTATAAAAACACTCTGGCATCCTGGACTCGTCTCTCGTACTTAACACAGCTTACGACAGCGCCGGTTATCTTGCATCATTCTACAAGACTAACACTAAATTAATGCTCTCTACAACTAACAATAAATACTCCACTTCTAATATATCAACTAATAAACACACTCCACAACAACCCCCCCTCTAAAACAACGCCCTTAACAGCTTATCATTTTTAAATTTCACAGAAATCTATTGTATCAATAATTTTATGGAAAGCAAACAGATTCATTTTCTTTTCTATGAAACTTTACTCACATTCTAAACTTAACAACACATGGGCGTAGCTCATCTTATGGTTAGGTTTAACAATTTTTTACAAAGCTTATATCAAGTCACTCTGTCCGTCTGTCTAGGAAAAAGTTTGTACACGTTATTTCACCGACACCCAATCTCGGATCAAGCTGAAATTATGCACAATTGTTTCCTTAACCTGACAACACAAGAATCAATTTAAAAAAATTAACTATTCAGTTAATCAGCTTTTGGTAATTAATTATTTTGTTTAATATCTCGAACAAGGGAAAGAAATTGTACTTGACTGAAGTGATAGTGTAAACTGATTTAGTGCCCTTTACATGTCGCCGCTTTAAAGTAGGCCTACGTTTATAACGAACAATAGATAACTATCCAAGCTTCTATTTTCATAGGCACCTCACTAGCTTGAAGGTCAGTAAGTCGGCTTGGGAATCTTGAGCAATAAGTTCAAATTCAGGTCGTTCTCCCCCACCCCTTTTTTTTAAACAATAAATACGTTTAAAAAACGAATAATGCAAATGTTCAATCAGATTCCCAGATATCCCTTGTTTTTCCCATCCCCGGATTTCCACAACTGGTCCAGATAAGTGAGTAGATTACAGCGCATTGAGAAAGCTGAAAGCATCGTAGAGCGCTAAACAAGTACACTTGTGAAAAATATTTTAATCGCACAGGTTTATTATTGTTGGCTTAGAACTCTTGATCTATTACAAATTTAATTACACGACTGATCTCGACTAATTGATACAATGACATAGCATACACTTTGTGCTTATTTTTAAAAGTATTTTTCATGCTTGTAATTTGAATTTTTAACTAAAGATAACTCAATCGTAACCGTAGCTTAAACATTTTTTGAAAAGTTCCTTTTAAAAAAAAAAAGATAAGAACAGAATAATTCTCTCCTTTTTCCTGGCATCCAATCTATATCTTCATTCCACATTCAGAATAACATATGTACAACATGTACCAAAGAACCGGATTCCCAAGTGGTGTTAAACAAAGCAATCTCCATACATAAAATAGTCATTGGTGAATGGTCGTTTATTTAGTTAATTTATTTAGGTCGCAGACTATTGACACGAAGAGCTGCCTACTTACGCGTTTTTCATTGAAATAGCAGCTAGTTACGTACTTCCTTTCACTCCTTTCTTTCTCCCTCACAATAGAGTAATGTTACATTTTGTTTTTTTAATTTTTCATTTAAAAAAAAAATTAATTCACAAATCAAATTTCGAATCACGTTGACCTGAATTTATTATTATTTTTCTTTTTTTGAGAATAGAATTTTAACACCCAGAATGCAATCAATGATGTGGACAACTTCCGGTGACTCCCGCTTAAAAATGCACGCATCATCAAGCATCTTTCCTTTTTTTTTGGGGGGGGGGGCGGGGGAAGTTTTAGAGTTCATTTAATCTGTGGCTTTCTCCATTTCTGTTTGGTCTTTTCAAACGTTTACCCATTTTTTGAAAGCTGTTTTGTGAGCGAGGACCAAAGGCCGGAACATTTCTCTCTTGGCTAAGAAGCAAGAGATCTCCCGCGTTTTATACAAGAAATAGTTCACGCTTGTGAGTTCCACAACAAGGTCACATCCGGTGATTTACTTCCGGTAAGGTCATTGATTTAGAACTTTAACCACAAAAAGGTGTTCTTTTTATACGGAAGATTTCCTCGATAACCATCCCAAATCGTGTTTCTTTTCAGGAGGAGATTTAAACATTACATTAAACACAATTATATTAACTAAGACATTTTATAATTGGGCTGAAAAAGTTTATTTGAAGAGTAAATTCTTTCTATTTGGTTTGCGCTGTCACAAATGCATGTGTTCAATCAAATTAATTGGCTTTATTATGGTCATTAAAAGGCCACACATCAATCATCTTTAACCGTCTCCAAATATTCCTTTTTCTTTCACTGTCTAAAGTGGTATGTACAGGATCTGAAAGACTTGGTGTAGAACGTACACTAGTATTGTGAAGAATACAAAGATGATGAGTTAGGATTAGTCTGTTAGCAGAGATAACATATAGATTTATACACAGAAGACACATATACACCCATACTCAGAGAACAAATATACAATCTTACATAGAGAACACATATACACTCATACACAGAAAACACATATACAATCATATACAGAGAACACATATATATATATTTATACTCTCATACACAGAGAACACATATACAATCATACTCAGAAGACACATATACACCCATAAACAGAGAACACATATACACTCATACACCTATTTATGTGTACATATGAATCTTTAAGTGATATCAAATTCCTTTTCAGACTTTGCGATCTTTAGAGCAGAAGATGTAAAGGTCATCTGTCTCTGTTGCCCACGGTTATAAAAGGTGTCATGTGACCAGTATAAAGACCTACCGCCTTTCCCTTACATTAGAGCTTGGTGGGCTCAGTGGCACACAGAGATCCCGAAATTTAAAATCCCAGTTTTCATTAGGATTCAAACCTGGGACCCTCCGTCCGGAAGCTAAGCTCTTTACCGCTCAGTCAGCGTGCCTCCTTTATATACACATTTAATATTGTTTTTGTACACTGCGCCTGCGCCTCCTTCCCCATATAAAATAGATACGCATCCCCGGCTAAGGGATATGGGTGGGAAGCGTGGCTTGGCTACCTAGAAGGGGGCTCGAGGTTCGACACCTGACTTGGCAGAGTTGTGTTTACTAAGCGCCTAAAGGCAGCAAGGAAAACCAACTCCTAGATACCCCCTCCCTCCCACTGGTCCACAAATGAGATTGGACCAAAAGCGCTCTGAGCATGATATAAGCATGAAAGTTGCGCTATATAAAAGCTATAATAATAATAATAACATGAGAGAGAGTTTTGAGGTTCTCCAGCCTTGCACCAAGCTTTTTTCTTGCAACTGATCCTTTTCATGGCATAGCGCACTATTCACTATTCAGTCTAAGAAGAGCAGCTCAAACTTAAAACATTATTTTATTACGGGTCACGAAAGGCCGAAAAATGAGATTGGACAGACCTGTACGACTTGATCACGATCTATCTCCTAATAGCGGCAATTCTTTTTCTTTTTTTTTTTTTAGGAAAATCAGAAACACACCATCACATATGTTATATCACATTGCAGTAAGCAACGACATCCAAGGGCCTTCAACAAGTTCATCCACCTTTTGATCTTTATGCCTTAAAACCAGGAGAGACTTTTGTCCTTCTGACCCGAGAAATACCGAGTTAGAATCGCGGTTGGTGGAAACCTGAAAACGTCTGCAATAGAGTCAACCTAGTTGCAGGCGCGTCTCGCGAAAATATTATAAAACCTTTAACATGAGACGCGAAGAGCTAATAATATAATTGTCTAAATTTCGGTAATAATGTGAATAATAAAAAAATGTTCACTGCTCAAATGACAACAGCTGGAATTCAACTGATTTTATTGTCCCTTGAAAACAAAAAGATTGTCTGACGTCATGACCTGTCACGTGGCTACGAGCTATTGGTCTGAACTGCCCACAGGTTACGTCGTCACAGTCAGTGCCCGGGCTCTCTATAATGATAGGTCTAGCATCTTGACTATCATGTCAGCATATGACGTCTCATAAAGGCGAACCCTGCAGTTTGAGAAACGCTGATATAGAAAATAACATTTGCAATGAAGTGTTTCTAGTCAAGCCAGAGGCCGAGGAAAGCTATCACGTGACTGCCACTAGAAACCGGACACTCACACAGCGCCGAATTACTGGACGTGTCGAACCGGTCAACAGCGTTGTCTCGGGGATTGCACTGTAGTGAATTCTGTGCCCTAATGGCTCTCCGGTGACCTCGTGGACTGAAAGTGGACGAAACATGACCCTCCTCTGCAATATCACCGTGTCCTGAAGTCATCCATAAAGTCAAGAAGATGAGAACACAAATAGATCAAGATACCGTATGATAAGTATGTGGACACAAATAGATCAAGATACCGTATGATAAGTAGCTTAGTTCTAATACAGCTAGCATATGTTGACCAAGAAAAAACGCAGTTTTATGACATGTATGCCGTATATGCTAAAGTGCTTTAGTTTGTCTAGAAATAAGTTGTACTTATGTAAATGAGTAGTGAACCACAATGAAAATGTGTGCCACCAACATCTCTGTATATATAATTCTGTACGTCGCCCAACCCGGGCATGCTACACTGCCTCATAGTGGCGCCTGGGTGAAAACGATCGTAGGAGGAAACGATTAGGCTAAAGGGTAGGAAAACAAGACTCCCGTGGGGGTGCCTCATTGCACTGCGCGGAGTTGTAAAAAAGCTCCCACAACCATTTCACAATCCAGGCGCTGTTCCTCAAGGGGCCATTACATTATAAATGGCGTGTCCCGCACGGTTAGCCTGGTATAGAAAAGAAAAATGGCGAGGATCTTAGTAGATCTATAGGCGGCCTCTTGCCGCGAGTCTGATCCATCCGCCAGACAAAACAGTGTACACTGTTTTCATACAGGCCAGTGAGAGGGAGCTCTTGTTCTTTTTTGCTGGCCTAGAGTTCCAAGAGCTGAAGGCTCAACTCTACCTGACAGTTTAAGAAGAAGAAGAAGAAGTACGTCGCCCAACAATGCGGACACCACGCACGCACGCCGACTCTCTAGCCCTCCTCCCGCCCGCACCCGCATCTTTCTCAGTATCCAGGCATGAGCACACAGTCGTTTGTCCAAACCCACCCCATTTGGACAACTGTGTCTTTCAGGAAGTTTTCACCCGTCACTAAATAACGGCGCATGCTACGCTGAGGGTCGGCTAGTAATAATAGTAATAAGCTTGTCTTGAGTCCAAAGATTATGGAGTCGTGCATTTCAGGTGGCTACGCAGTCCTCACTGTGATCTACATATTTCGCCGAAATTAACGTAGACAAATCTTTTGTCCGCCGGTGATTAAGTTGCCAATAAAAGATGACTTACGAGATGGGATTGTCGTCCATTCGGCGAACATGACCAGCGCACGTGTCGTTGTCTGAGGATTGCGAAGATGCTTGGTGGACCCGTTCGCACAAGGATATCAGTGATACTATTGCCAACGGTTAAAGAGAGTATCTTGTGGCCTGAACAACGACTTTTACTTTTACAAATAATTTCGAATTATCTTTGTTGATTAATTTATTTTGTTTAGTATATTCATGATACAGACAAAGTGTGAAATGGAGGCATACTGTAGAATTTACACTTTGCCGGTAACATTTATCTATATATATATATATATATATATAAATGTATATATAATTATATAAATATATATGTATTGCTAGTTTGACCACACAAAGTTTGTAAATGATTGCTATATTGTGACTTAAACTTATGCGGTAGTTATTGTTCAATCTATTCAATTCAACTATTTAGAGTTTTTATTCTTGGGTTGGGTTCTAAGCAGTACTCATTTTACTCAAAGAACAAAGAATCCGCTAAGATTCATTCATCGCAACTGAGGCTATAACCTATCACTCAGCATGTTGGACCATTGGGGCACCACACAAGATCTGTTGAGTGTCTTTCTCCATTCCTCTATGTCTTTTGCCTGGGATTAGAATCTCTTTCAAGTTACAAACTATCAAGAAACCATTAATCCTTCGCTCCATCTCCTCTGTTTGTTGCTGCACATTGACAATGTATGCTTCCGCCATTCCTATTCCCTTCCATCTTCAATACCCACACACCTTCAGCTTCCCTGCCTCTCTCAATACCCCGACACCTTCAGCTTCTCTGCCTCTCTCAATACTTACACACCTTCAGCTTCCCTGCTTCTCTCAATACCCATACACCTTCAGCTTCCCTGCCTCTCTCAATACCCAGACACCTTCAGCTTCCCTGCTTCTCTCAATACCCATACACCTTCAGCTTCCCTGCCTCTCTCAATACCCAGACACCTTCAGCTTCCCTGCCTCTCTCAATACCCACACACCTTCAGCTTCCCTGCCTGTCTCAATACCCACACACCTTCAGCTTCCTTGCCTCTCTTGATAACTTCTTCACTGCTCCTCTTATGCTCCATACAGCTTCTCCACTCACTCTTTCTTTCACGCAGTTCCTCCCTTCATTCCACTCCAACCCTCACTCTGGCCCTCTCCCCCCTCTCACTGTCACACACTCCTAAAGTCTTTGCAGACATGCATGTGACAGTCTCAGGGCTAGACATCTCTTCTGCTGACACCGTCACGCGTCACATCCTTGGCGTCTGGCTTCCAGACAGCAATAAAATTAAAGTCACTCTATAAACTCAAGAAATCTGTTGAAGCTGCATTTTTTTTTTGTCCAATTCACATCTGTAGTGTCTGTCCGTCTCCCAGTTATGAAAGAGAAATTAAAGTTTTTCTATTTCAACGATTCAAACCCTGGACGTTCTCGTTCTTTTGTTTTGCGTTTGTTGTTTGAAATAAATGTTTTATCTTACAATTTGGACCTTTCTTTTTAAAATGTTTTCTAGACGTGAAGCGATTGTTTACCAATAAGCTTTGGTGGTCCTCAAAGCACTAACCTCTTCAGCGTCTTTTTACTTTTAGTTTCAATTAATGAGTGACACGCTTTTAAGATTTGGAACCATATCAAGCCATTTCACAGCAAAAATTTAGAACAAAATAATGCACACAGGTGGCGGAGCGGTAAAGCGCTTGGCTTCCGAACCGTGGGTTTCCGGGTTCAATTCCTGGTGAAGACTGGCGTTCTTAATTGCGGGATCTTTGGGTGCCCCTGAGTCCACCCAGCTCTATCGGGGAAAAGTAAAGGCATTTGGTCGTTGTGCTGGCCACATGGCACCCTCGTCTTAAAGGGGAACTTTACTTTACAAAGATTAAAGGCTTCATTTCGCACTGTTGTAAGAAGGTACGAGAGACCGACACTGCGTCTTGGGCAGTACAGGATTACGTCAGTTGTTCAAGTATCATTGGTCAGAAGCATTGGTCAGAAGCATACATTGTTGATACATTCTTCGTTCAAGTCTACTTGATGTTGAAGTGTGCCAATGTGTTTAGCGCCATTTTTTCAGCCTCAGCTTTATTTCTTGCTATAATTTAGGATCATTCTAGATCGCCAACAAATCAATTCAAGTCCAACATTTTTATATTTCTACTAGAAAAAAAAAAGGTAAACAGCTTGAAATTAAAAAATATAACCTTAATTGTGTTTGTTCTGCTTATAGACAATGGATTTTGTGTTAACTTTTTCTTATATATGTATATTTTGGTTTTGTTTAATAACATTTTAACGAAAAATAACACTCAATGACTGACTGATTGATCAAGAGATCTCTTAAACTATCGTATGGATTTGCATGAAAAGTCGTACACAGGTTTCATTTACCTCCTAGGAATCCACTGAGAACTGGCTTTGACAGATTCGCTTCTCGCGACAAACCGCAATCTTTCTATCAAATCTTTGTATTTTATTTTCAGTATTTCTCTATATATAAAGCATTAAAAGAAATAGCACAAAAATTCCCTATTTTTCAAGCATTTATTTCATTTTCGCTAAGTCTACTTATTTATTGATATATCCCTTACGTCATTTCCATTTTCTTTTAGACGCATAAGTGCGTATTTTTGTCGGGGAGAGGGCGGGTATAAAGCGGGTCTTTCCAAATCAAGTCAAACGTCTATGACGGTCAAGTTACGTGCGCATGTGGAAAAATGAGCGAAAATGTGGGTTGCAGAAGGAGAAAGAGAGTGTGGAGGCTGAGTGATAAAGCGCTTGAATGGGTGTGGTGGCTGAGTGATAAAGCGCTTGAATGGGTGTGGTGGCTGAGTGATAAAGCGCTTGAATGGATGTGGTGGCTGAGTGATAAAGCACTTGAATGGGTGTGGTGGCTGAGTGATAAAGCACTTGAATGGGTGTGGTGGCTGAGTGATAAAGCGCTTGAATGGGTGTGGTGGCTGAGTGATAAAGCGCTTGAATAGGTGTGGTGGCTGAGTAATAAAGCGCTTGGTTTCTGAGCCAAGAGTCTACGGTTTGAGCCCCAGTCAAGTGTGGGATTTAATAATTTGTGGAAAAGCTTGAGACAAACCAATTATTTCCTGACATTAGGTGGGAGGAAAGAAAAGTCGGTTGGGCGTTATCTGGGTCGGCGTCTCTTCCTCCCTCCTCCCTCCTTGCACTTCAAAGAATGACGCTTATTTCGTTGCATTTATTTAAAACCCCAGAAGATATCGGTGTTATAGAATGAAACCAGTCAATGACCAGACAGATATATATACAATAAATATGAAAACAAAAACAAAATGTTCATACAAACAAAATTTAACACGCTCAGCAATATTAAAAATAAACCAGTAATCGAGTAGTCGATAATCAATCAATATTAGGTTACAGATAACAGATGACAAGCAATCAACCACGCGACTTTTGTTGCCAAAATCGATTTCCTTATTTTACAAGGAAGCGATACCTGATAAAAAATCGAAAAAAAAAAAGCCTGGCCTCGAAAAAAAAGTCTTGAGCAGATTAAAAAAAGAGGTGGGTGCGGGGGATATCCACAAATCAAAATGAAAAAGAAACTGGGTGAAAGTGTGTTTTAGGGTACTAGGAGAGGGAGGGTTAAAGACGATTGGAAGGAATCACTTCTGCAGAGCAAACCAACGGCTATTTGTGATCCCGCCTTCTCAACAAGGGGCTTTATTCAAGAGGAATGTTTGTATTGTTTGTTTTTATTAGTATTATCTCCCTCTGAAACTGACTCTCCCCCCCCCCCCCCCCCCCCCCCCGTCTCAGCAGTTTTCGGTCGCCTTTGTTTGACATTGTTGCTGGACTTTTAGTGTGGACATAATCTGAACAGTTGTGAACTTTGACATACGAACAAACTTTGCACTTTATTAACTCTTTCTCTCCTAACTGACGATATCAACGTTAATTTGACCCCATTAAATTTGTTGTTTTATTAACTTTAATTTGTTTTATATAAACAGAGCATGCATTCTTCTTTAATTTTAAAAATTCCCTGATTAGATATGGAAAAAAGTTATTGAAGTTAAATCTTAACAGGGTAGTGAAACTGAAATGAGAAAAATGAATACTTCCATCAAAATGTGGAAAATAATTACGGAGAGAAAGAGTTAAGGTTTAAGTCCAGCCCTAAATTTCACATCTGTTGATTAGAAGTTTATGCGCCCTAAAATGTAAATAAAGGATGAATTAGAATAAACAAAGTGAAGTAAAGTATCACTTTCAGAGCTTGCGATCTGCAGGGCATATGATGTAATGTAAAGGTCATCTGTTTCTGTGGTGTACAGTTAACGAGGATGTCATGTGGCCAGCACAACGACCGACAGCCTTTGATTTTCCAAAATTATGTCATCAGGTACTCAAAAGAGTTGGGTAGACTTAGTGGCCTCCTAAATATCCCAAAGTTCATAATTTCCAGTCTCCACCGAAGTTCGAATCCGATATACCTTAACATACTTTAAAAAGTGCACTAAAATTATAGGGCTTTTAAGATGAGGTATTATCAAAACGCCCCTTGTTTTTTTTTTTTTTTTGTATACCAGCTACACCAAATATTCTCTAAATTTCTAAAACAAATTCCTAAGAAATATACGTAAGACTACACGTTTTATTCTTAG